TACAGTGAAAGGCTCTCAGTTCGCCATGACCATTCAAGAAGAGCATGTATTACCACTAGGTGTGCCTTTGAACGCTGATCTCAAATCTACCTTCCAAATTTGCTAAATGATTCTCTGAAGGGAGTTATGAAGCAAAACAGTGCAACGGTAGTGATCGGGATTTTAGTCAAAATGTCGTAGGATCGGCCCCTGATCGCGTTTACTGTCTTGCGTTTTTCAGGAATTACGCTAAAATAGGGGAATCTATTAAATGCCTTCTAGCTGTACTCTTGACATCCCGATCACTACCGTTGCGCTGTTTCGCTTCATAGCTCCCTTCAGAGAATCGTTTAACAGATTTGGAAGGTACATTCATATCAATGAGGGTAAAGGTGTTGACATAATTTATTTTGACCTATCCAAAGCATTTGATAAGGTTAATCATGAGAAACTTATACTTAAGCTCTGGAATTTAGGAATTGAAGACCCCATACTTAGCTGGATTCGATCTTATTTGAAAGATAGGCGGATGTATGTTAAAGTGGGAAATCAATTCTCGCAAAAATATTCTTGCACCAGTGGCGTCCCACAAGGAGGAGTACTGTCACCCTTATTATTTGTTGCATATACCTATGACCTGCCCTCTTATCTGAATACAAACCCCCTAGTCAAAATTAAAATATACGCTGATGACATTAAAATATACGGAAGTTACAATGAGCAAAATTATGACTGTGTATACCAAGCCTTAACTCACTCCATTCGCAACATGATGAAGTGGGCTATGGATTGGGGAATACCTATAAATTTGCGATCGCTGTAGTTCTATGAAGTTCGTGACCTAGGGTTCCTCATAAATTCTGATTTAAATTTTTCGCATCACATTGATGTTATTGTTCGTAAAGCATACATGACCTTATTTGCAATCTTTAGAAACATTCGGCACAATGATGTTTCAATCTTTTTGAAACTCTACAAAGCATATGTTGTTCCCATACTTGAATATGGTTCGCAGATATGGAGCCCTCACATTAAGAAACTTCAAGCTAAAATTGAAAAGGTTCAACAGACTTTTACTAGAATTTTGATGTATCGATGTTATGCAAATCCTGCCTATCCACAAGCTTTACCCGATTACAAAAACCGCTTGCTTCGCTTGAATCTTAAGTCATTGATGTACAGGAGGGTATTCAATGATATCGTATTCTGTTTCAAATTGTTGAAAGGTGAACTCAAGCTGAGACCAAGCAAGTACTGGATAATGAGGCCGAGCAGAGGTCGCATCACTTCATTATCACTACAATGTCCTAGATTATACAGAAATCATCAGGTTCAGGTTTTTAACTCGCTATGCTTTCGCGGAGCGAGATGGCTTCAATTATTACCTTCAGACTTGCAACTGGCACAAAACACCGATACGTTCAAAAGAAAATTAAAGAACATTGACTTACTTGCCTTATTAGGCATCAACGATTTCGAATAATATGTGTCTGTGAACTTTCCGCTTGTGGGTAAAATACTGCTCAAATGTGTTTACTTTAAGTCGATGACTCTCATTTTATAACGATTTGGTTTCTGACTAATTATTGTAGCGCACCTACGAGTGCATAGTAATAAATAAATAAATAAATAAATAAATAAACATTTGAGATTAGTGTTCAAAGGCACATCTAGTGGTATACACCTCTTCTTGAATGGCCATGGCGACCTGAGAGCCTTTCCTTGTTAGATATCGAAAACAAGTACCAATTGTAATATCTGCACCAACTGTTCAGGTTCTGAAGAATCACATTACAAATAAAAAAAACTGGTCTGAAGATAAGAAAGGAATGAATGCGTCGGACATTCTTCAAACAAAAAACCAGAGTTTTATCTTTTTCATCATATTTCTCCCGAGATTATTGGTGGTCTAATACATCGTTTCGACTGATGTGAGCTAACGAATCGCCGTGGATCATCACCAGTAGGAACAGATTTGAGATGGCTGGACACTATAAACAAATGGCTCGATATCATTTGGAGTGTTCATTACCTTAGCAATGCGAGTCTCTCCGCGGCCTTTCTTCAGCATAATACGTGTTGTTGAAGCATGAGCAAGTATATGACCACCGATAGGTTTCTTTGGATCTACCTGAAAAAGCATATTTTGCAGTTTTATCCGAGAAAAAACATACAGAAAAGCGGCTGAGAGAGGGTATGCAGCAAAAACAAAATTTATATACTATTGCCACCATGCGGGAGGTGATGCGGTAGTGACAAGTGCCATACACACGGCACCACATGATCTGGAGGACAGTCCCGGATGGTAACCCGACTAGCAAAGTCGAACATTCTGCCGCTAACAAGTTTTTGTTTAGCCACCTCCGAGATTCAGTACAGGCCAACTCGCTTTGAAATGACAGCGCTTCTTGACCCTTTGACGACCGCGCGCTCTAAACGTGTCTAGGGTGTGGGACCGCACACCAGACACGCGTGGGGGGGGGGGGGGCGGGGGGGGGGGGGGGGGGGGGGGGGGGGGGGGGGGGGGGGGGGGGGGGGGGGGGGGGGGGGGGGGGGGGGGGGGGGGGGGGGGGGGGGGGGGGGGGGGGGGGGGGGGGGGGGGGGGGGGGGGGGGGGGGGGGGGGGGGGGGGGGGGGGGGGGGGGGGGGGGGGGGGGGGGGGGGGGGGGGGGGGGGGGGGGGGGGTGCGGGGGGGCCGCACTTTCGCTTGATTATAGCTACAGCAACTGCACTGCAAACATATTTCAGTGAATCAACGTACTAATCAACCATACATTTTAAGGCAGATGGAATATCAGCAATGTAATGAAAAGGACTAGTGAAAAAGATCTTAGGATTCACAAGTGTTCTGGTAGCACTACTGAAGTAGCAGCTACTAAAAACAACTTCCTTTCTTGTACGAAACTTGCATTCAAATAATCAAATAGATTTCAATACAAATGCTTCCTTCCAAGCGTTTTTCTATGGCTAGTGCGGTGTCGATATAAGTAACCTTATTCACTTGATGGTGACTTCGATGGGAGCTTCGGGTACAGTTAGGCTTTTTCACAAGGCAGCCAGCTGCTGTGCCTACCAGAACTCCCTCTTTTACTTATATGTTCATTTGTATTACACCTAATTGATAATATTTTTAACAAGACCAAACAATTGTCGTGGAGCTCGCAACAAATGGGTCCTATCGACGAATATTACTAGAGGGTATAACAGTTGCCACAAAGATTACTATTCCAGTTGCTCCAAAGTCCCACCTGCGCTGTGTTCTTATTCTGTCGCTAAAGATGATATTTGGCTGATATTCGTATAACTTCGTATAATGTATATTCCTCATTGTTTTTGGGTTTCTCCTTGGGAAAAAGCAATCCCCGAACCACTGCGTACATAACCTTGTTAGGGGGTTGCGTACGTATTTAGTAACTGAAAATACCAAAAATGTAAAAGGGAGGAAATACAAGAAATGAGTTGCCGTGAGCCCGCCGGCGGGCCGACATCGGGTCGTCAAAGGGTTAAAAAAGAATGGTCGATCAAATGCATCTCCGTTTGTTTGACCTTCTAATAAATCCTAATTTGTCTATCGTTGTTAACTGCTGTTTTTATACTCCATATTTCTTAGTCAGATTAGGCGTGTCTATGGGTTTGACGTGGCGGCCGTCGCACTTGATGGAAGTTGCGCGAATAAACTGCTTCCAGCAAGCTTCGCTGATACCAACAGAAGGTTAGAAAAATTCCAACCACACCGCTTTTAACAAGTGCGGCAACGGCCACTTCAAATCCATAGCCACACCTAATCTGCATTCAAGTTATCGACGTTAGTTCGCCTTGTGAAATGTTTGGACAGAATGGTTCAAGTGCAAACCAAACTTTCAGCCCTCAAAAAAATGCGACTCGAACCCGCACCTCTTACCAGGAAATTGCTCTGCAAGCTACACTAACACGGCTTTATTTCATTCCAATCCAGCTTTTCATGGTGTAGTTACTATAGCTTGTCAGCACTCACAAGTATGGCGGTTACCGAACATCGACGGTGGGCCGCAAGGCTGAAAGCTTTAGCAATTATTTTGACTTGTTTTGTTTGTTAACTGCTGTTTTTGGCCGCAGTTCGCCTTGCGAATGTTTCGCAAGGATGTTTCAGGCTTGCGGTTCACTACCAATGTCGGCTAACCGGCTCAACACATTATACGTGTGAGTGCTGAGGTTACAAAGCTTCTGCCAACCAGGGGGTGAGAGTGTAGAAGGAAAAGCAGACGTTCTTTGTGGTAGTGGGACTAAGCCTTTTGAAGGAGGTAAAGAAAGCGGAGATTCTGTAATAGTGCGCTTGTGTGAGAGCTCCCAGACAGCACAACAAAACGCTGAATTGCCTAGCCTCACGGTTGACAGATGTCCCGAGATCGAGTGTTGACAAGCTATGATAAGACTATGGAAAGCTGAGTTGGAATGAAATGGTGCCCCGGTAGCGTAACTGGTAGCGCACTTGCCCGGAAAGCGAGAGGTGCGGGTTCTAGTCCCGCCTGGGGCGAAAGTTTTGTTCACAACCCAGCATTCTTGTGAATCTCCTGGTAAAGTTATATGCAATTCAAAACTCTTTCGAAAAAAAAAGTATTTCCGTAGTATGCTTCCCATGTAGAGAGGTGTGATAAGTCTAAATTTGCATTAGCACCGAAGAAAATGTACCATTGTAAACTAGTGTCACAATACCTGGAAAGTCATACCAGCTCCTGGATCGGCTGTCATTTGATTAGTGATGAACACTGCCACATTGTACTCCTCCGCGATTTTCTAAATTATAATAATAAAGCATCATCATTACTTCAAAGCAAAGCTGGTGCACGCCAAGTGTTCAAATTGCTTGCTTGTATGAGGGTGGCGTTCTCCTGCGCTAAAAATAAGCATCACAATCTGAGAAGAGCTGTGGAAATCCTATCCCGCATATGAAACGTTTCAGCAGACACTTCATACGACTTATGAAATATAGCGCAATCGCAAATGATTAATAGCAAACGGGTAAAAAGAACGATAATAATACTATCACATCCGAATTATAGAAATTACCAGGAAACCTCTCGTCACAATGAGTGATGAAGTGAATAGATATTGTAGGCAATAATTTGGACTTTAGCTTGTGACTAGTTCTTAGAGTATATCGAACCAACAATTCTAAAGCGCTTAGCGATTGGCTGTCCATGAGCTCTATCGGTATCACGATCGAGACTCTGTAGCTGCTAAGGATGCACATACTGTAATCCCTCTTGACCTCCTCAGTGACGTTTATATTGTATTTGGCTGGCGGTGGTAGAACTGGCTTATTTTCAGCAGATAGAATACCTTTCAGGTTTTTGACCCTGGGAGTTGTATACCCGATCACCATGCGCGCAGTCAGTTTCGCCGAAGCACGTTATGACCAAACCAGTTTTGCTTCGCCCGCTATCGCGCGCATCACACGGCAGGCTTTAGCGAAATTGGAGGACCCATGGAATATCAGCATGAGATACTCCATTAACCATCTCACTATTGACTGTGTTAGACCCTCCACAGTTTCACTGAAGCTCATCGAGAATACGCGTGATAACGTCTGAGCTGAACTGGTATATTGATCACAACTCTGTAAACATCCAGCATTTTTCTTGAATTAAGATAATTTAGCGCGAATATGCCTATTTACATAAGTGAGGAGCTAAGGCTTATCATTTATTTACTTTTACCATTATTTAGAACCCTGAAAGGATTAGCGGTTTAATGAGTCTGGGCTTTCGTGATAGAAATGAAACTTATCATTTGCTGAAGACTTGATTGAATTTATGCAATCGACTGCTATTAAGTAAGCTGGATATATATCAAAATAATGTGCACGTACCTTTGTTTGTACTACTACGACTTACTACAATTTGTAAGTAGGAACGCTCTAGTGTCAACGCTGCGTAACGAAATTGACGACTTTTGCGTTCTGGCGCGCCTTATCGGCCCTTATCAATCGTTATCAGTTTCTGGCACCCACCAACAATGTCCCCGTCCCACCCCACATAACACTTGTAAGTATGGTTGCTCTGGTGTCAACGCGAGCCAGGCAACGGAATCGACGACTTCAGCGTTCTGGCGCGCCTTATCGGCCCTTATCAATCGTTATCAGTTTCTGGCACCCACCAACAATGTCCCCGTCCCACCCCACATAACACTTGTAAGTATGGTTGCTCTGGTGTCAACGCGAGCCAGGCAACGGAATCGACGACTTCAGCGTTCTGGCGCGCCTTATCGGCCCTTATCAATCGTTATCAGTTTCTGGCACCCACCAACAATGTCCCCGTCCCACCCCACATAACACTTGTAAGTATGGTTGCTCTGGTGTCAACGCGAGCCAGGCAACGGAATCGACGACTTTTGCGTTCTAGCGCATCTTATCAGCCCTTATCAGTTGCTATCGCTTCCAATCATGTACCACCAATGTCCGGGACCGCCCCACATAAGACTTGTAAGTATAGACGCTCTAGTACCAATATGAACGACAAAACGAAATTGGCGATGCTCGCTTTCTAGCCCCTCTTATCAGCTATTATCAGTCGTTATCAGTTCCTATCACGTACCACTTGTGTCCCCATCCCACCCCCTATAACATATGTAAGAACCACTGCGCTATCGTTACTGTGACTCGAGCTATGAATTTCCGGTCAAACACACACACACCAACAGACACACGCTAGCCGCTTATATATAGGGGACATTGTTGATGGGTGATAGAAAGTGGTCGCAACTGATAAAGGCTGATAAGGCGCGTCAGAACTGCGCTACACTGCGAACTAGCTTGAGCTGACACTAGAGCGTCCCTACTTACAAATTCTATTTGTAGTGGTACGTGCACATTGTATCATTGTATGACCAGCTTACTTAATAGCAGTCTATTGCATAAACTCAATCAAGTCTTCAGCAAATGATAACTTTCATTTCTATCAAGAAAGCCCAAACTCATTAAACCGCTAATCCTTTCGGGGTTCTAAATAATGGTGAATGTAAATAAATGATAAGCCTTAGCTCCTCACTTATGTAAATAGGCATATTTCATTTTCATTTGAGACTGACAGCAATCCTATTCACCGCTAAATTATCTGAATTCAAGAAGAATGCTGGATGTTTACAGTTGTGAGAAAATATAAAAGAAACTTCTTCGATGTGATCCTCGTAGTTATAGACCTATTAGCATGACCTCTGTATTTTGCAGGTTGTTTGAAAAGATTCTCAGGGAGGCCATTGTTTCTCACTTAGAATCTTATCATATTCTCTGTCTGATTACCAGCATGGATTTAGAGAAAAGAAGTCGGACAATTACAGCAATTGCGGAGGAAAATCGTAAAAGTGTCTTAACGACTGGACTTTAGACCTCGATAACAAGCGTAGCTTGGACATCGTTTACTTTGATTTTGAAAAAGCTTTTGACAAAGTCGACCACTTCATCCTATTAGACAAACTAGCGCAAGTTGGAATTCACTGCAGAATAATCAGGTGGATTGAGGAGTTTCTTAAAGAGCGGACATTTCAAGTTCTGATCAACGGCTCTCTGTCCAAAATTAGGAAAGCTCCTAGCGGAGTTCCTCAAGGGAGCGTTTTGTCCCCTACCTTGTTCAATATCTTTACTTTTGACTTGCCTTACTTGATCGCTGATCTCGATGTCAAAGTCATAATGTTTGCGGACGACCTGAAGATTTACGGGCCAGTTGATAATCAGTCCTCCAACCTACAGAAAGCTATTGACTCCATCGTGCAATGGTCCGACACTCATATGCTTCCATTGTCTGTTCATAAAACGAAGATACTTCGCCTAGGTGAAGCTAATCCTAACATCCAATACCACATTCACGATTGCGTCCTTGATACCGCTGAAAAGGTTAAAGACCTGGGATTCATTATTGATCCAAAGCTTAGTTTTGAGGAGCATCTAAAGGATATTGTGGCTAAGGCTAACCAAAGAGTTTTTCTCTTGTTCAAATCTCTCAAAAGCAGAAATCCCATTACGCTCGTCAGAGCATATAAAGTCTATGTACGTTCCGTTTTAGAATACGGTACTTGCATCTATTTTCCTCACAGCAGAACCCTCCTTAGTATGTTGGAAAAGGTCCAGAATAACTTCTCGAGGAAACTATTCTTAAGAACTCTAGGGTTCACATACAGGAGCATCCCACGTGGGTTCATCAGAAACAAAATGCTTGGTTTGGACCCTGTACAATTAAGGCTGAAGAGGAATGACTTACTCATGGTGTACAATATCCTTTCTAGTCGTGCCCATCTCAACTGTCACAACTTTTATAATCTGGTCCCATCCAAGACTAGGGGTGAGAGGTTCAAGCTTACTTTTCGACAGCCGCGTTCTTCGTTCGGGCGCAGGTTCTTTACGTTCCGAGCGGGTATGGAGTACTTGAAAATGAGCAAAAAAGTTCAAATACCAGGCTTCTTTTCTGCATTCAAAACCAAGGTATCTCATTATCTAAATTCCGTTCAGTAACATTCTAGTGTGTTTTTTTTTCAATTGGTTTCGTTCGCCTATGTTGTCAAGAATTTCGTTTTCATCGTTTTATCCTATTGTTCTTTTTTAGACTTGTTGATGTTTTCACATGCGTGTAGCATGTAATAAAAGTTAAAAGTTTACAGTTGTGAGATAATTATGCCAGTTCAGCTCCAGACGTTATCACGCGTATTCTCGATGGACTTCAGCGAAACTGGGAAAGGTCTAACACATTCAATAGTGAGGTGGCTAATGGAGGACCTCATGCTGATATTCCATGGGTCTTTCAGTTTCACTAAAGCCTGCCGTGTGATGCGCGCGATAGCGGGCGGAGCAAAACTGGTTTGCTTATAAAAGAGATACTAAAGAAAATAGGGCGTCCGTATACTTTTGGGACACTGTATGCTGTGCTTCGCGCAGTCGCCAACATGTTAACAAAAAATGATAGCTGCGAACAGCCATGAAATTAATCGCTACATTGTGAGATAACAAAACGAAAAGCTACTGGACAGATATTAACTCGCAAGATGTCAAGTACTACCACCCGGGTGACCCTTGCCAATCATCATCTGGCTGTCCCATATCTGTTCGACTGAACACTAGAGAGATGAGCCCCTCTCACGTGTTCCTTCTCACCTTCACTTCACAACATTGTAGCGATACATGAGACTTCCGAAACCAACCCGCTCCCTAATACTTCTTTATTGAGTTGGCCAGTGGTTAAAGTATTGGATTGGAGCATAATAACGTAGCGTTTTTTTTTTGCTACTACGAAGACAGTGAATACAAACACTGTCCAGGAAATCACATATATCATTTCGAAGTACTTCTTCTTCCTGCTCTACAATACCTTGTTTGCATTTTCTTCTATATTGTAAGTGTACTCAGATATGGTGCTTAGAAGTTGGAAAATCAAGGTGGGCGAAAATCTATATAGAGAAAAAAGCTGCCAAAATAGGAGTTTTTCGGAATCCATCGTCATCATCGAACCTTACTCCAGTCGACCCTAATTTCAAATCATATTCACGTCGTACAATTGAGAATAATGAGGACTCTGAAAACGGGCTCAGTACCCTTTTTTGAATTCTGAATCCGGTAATTTCTTGCGAAATGGAATCAAAGTCGTAAATAATGACGAAAAGAACATCACTGATTAGTTTTATGCTTGGCTTTGCTTTTGGGTTTTGCTTTGAACGTTTTTGCCGAATGCGAGCGCTACGATATTATGCTCCAACCTAATACTTCGTTGCCATTATACTCTAACTGCTCAATCTAGATCGATTGCTGATGCAAGATTACCATGGTTGTGGACCTTACAATGAGAAAAAGCTCACGGCCTGGTAGGTCGTCCAATAAGACTATTTGAAGAGTTCAATACCAACAAAACACAAAAAAAGCATCAGGCATTGAAGCTCGCAAATCCTTTGATCTCGGTCGACTAGGTGCACATTGATCGACAGATCCCGCCGTATGACCGCCCTTCGTGCGCAAAGTCGGCGATAATTCTATAGGTATACATTCCTGTCAACATCATGCTGAATTGCCGAATCGCTTTATCGCGTAATCCGCGAATTATGAACTGGCCTAAAGCCTTACCGACCGACCCTGTTATGGACCAATCTGGTGCATCTGCGCGATTGAGGATTCTTCTGGAGCCGCAACCGTCGAATATCGTCATTACAGCGCGAGAAAGATAAGTAGTGTTGGATTCATTTGCAACATTTCATGTTTCACCACTTATCACAGGTTTCCACCTTGTATTACATCGTACAATAATCGCACAACTTTTTGTTTTGATGTTCCAGCTGTATATGCTTCCTTATCTCCCCCTCTCTTCTTAGCACCTAACAGAATAGGAGAAACAGTCACGGAAAAATAGTACGTTCTAAATCACGTGTCTTCGCCTCTCTCTTTTCGCTCCTTTCAGATATTATTGAACTTGAATTCGCTTCACTGGTTGGAATAGCATCGAGTTTTAAACCAACCTGCAGTCTACTCATCATTTGAGCTAGTTTTTGCTGCCTTTCAGCTAATTCGCCTCTGCCAGAATAGTCAACCCTTAAAAATATCTATATTTCATTGAACTGATTTTACTACACCGCTAATCCTATGCGCTCACTCGAAATATGGAAGGAATCAGAATCGCGACAGTCACGAATGTCTGATACACATGAAAACGAGCGGTAACAGAACTCAAATAAAAGAATTATAGCAAAATTCCAGGGAACAGGAAAGAGAGAGCTTAATGAGGCAGGGGAAGGATTACTCAGCTAATTCATGGTCGTGCGAGATTTGTCGGGCGACATCTAAGAGGGCTCCCCAAAAAATCCAGCTCCCCCACTTTCTTCACGATTTGGGGCGCGGCCGCGGCGAGCGCGGACGAGTCCACAGTGCCCGCGAACTGTGGTGGTGGAGCGTTTTCAAATTTACCCGCACAGTTCGCGGGCGACTCGGCCGCGCTCGCCGCGGCCGCGCCCCAAATCGTGAAGAAAGTGGGGGAGCCAAAAGACTCTGGAAGATTTCTATAGTGTTTTTCATTGCCTCGGAATATACAAGCCATGCTTTGCTCAAAACGACGAGTAATTGTGAGATATACCTCGGTTTTATCCTTATCTCATTTTTGAATACAACGATTCCGGGTGCGTCTGTGGTGTGAGAATTTTATTCTCATCATTAAGTCAATGTCATGACAAACACTAGTTTGCAAAGAAAGCGATAAAATAAACCAAGCTCGATTTAAGAGATACCTGAAAAGCGCCATTATTGAGTCCACAATTAGTAGTTTGAAGACACCCATCTCCTCGTGAAACTTCGCAGCTACGTAATCCAGCAACTCCATCTAGCATTAAGAAAACTGGTCGGAGAAGAAAATGAACAAGCGAAATTGAAAATCTTGAAGTAATCCTGTTTACAATAATTTCGAGCGAATACAACCACTCGATGTCTAGAGATTACATGATTGGTTTAGAAAAGGAGTAATTAGCTCACACATGACTCCTACCTGATGGTCTGAAGTGAAGGCCCTTGCATACAATACATTTTCGAGCATCGCTTCCTGATCAATATTGAACCTGTCGCAGATTGGGCGCAGACGTTCGGGACGGCTACAAATTCACAGCTTGTGAAACAATGAGTGCTCTAATCTACTTGTGAAAGGAAATACATGGAACTTACAATGTGTTTTCAGTGTCAATGAATATAACTTTCCCACCGCGATAGCTTCCGTTCGGCAGCTGGCAAGTGGCTGAATTAGTAGAAATACAACAACTGAATTAAGGGCAATTTATAAGTGAATGGTTAGTAAACATATCGAAGAAAATTCAAATTTATATCCGTGGCTCCACTGAATGAGTAATCCATGTACTAACCACACAAGGTATGAGATAGCTGAGTTTTTCCCGTGCGAAACTCTCCAAAAACCTCAGTGATACTTTGGCTTTCAATTCCGCCACCGAGCAGTTTGTCGAATTCCGAACTCCCTGTGGTAATTTTGAAGCACTGCTTGCGTCTCGCGCAGACTTCAAGGGCAGTGATAAATCCGCTTTTCTGAATAAAGTCACCATTAAAAAATTTAATCCATTGGCAACAATGCGATTTTTTATATTTTCGAAAAATGCGTCGTAATGCACCAAACTACTGGCACCAAAAATGTTGAATCTCAAAGCAGACACTGTTGAGACTTTGCACGTTTCAAAACTTTCCCGATCGCACCCGAAATGAGCGTAAATCTTTTCGTTCGGCCCAGGGTGGATTTCGGAGCAAGCGAGGAGAACTTCAATTTTCCACTCCAGAATTGGCAAATAGGGTCGAATCCCGTTCTCTTCTAGTGAGAAGTTGTACCAGCCCTCTAGCTAACTGAAAGCAAGAAGCCAGCCGTATACACTTAAAAATAACAAGCCTTGCTTTAAAAAATCACTTTTTAGCACCGCTTATGTAAAACATTATTTAGGAAAGATATGCATGGGCCACGATTACCATAAGTACTACAACGCCTTCCTGATTAATGTGCCATTATAATAATTTTAAAAATCTTGCGTAGAAGAATTATCTCTATGCTGCGTCCCCACATCGACCCGCAATGTCGCCAATGGGTTAATATTTAGCTGATTTAGAACAAGAGAAAATCAAACCATTATTTTGCATGCGGCTTCCTTTATTTTATCTACTTTTGCCTCCGAAAGCCCCTTGATTTCTGCCAGTCGCTTCTTTGTCGTCATCATTACACCCTTCACCGTACAAATTCCGACAGTTTGCAGTTTCTTGATATCGGCCATATTCTGAACATCAACAGTAACCGTAATCCAGCGTCATCCGGTCAAACTTTAATTAGTCTGCTGAAACAGATGCCTGTCAGAAGCGTGTTCAAGTTAATTGTACTCACGATTCCGTGGTTTTGCAACTGCTCCACATCTTGGAAGAACTCAACCTGAAAACCAGTTTTGATAATTATTTTTTTCGAAAATTATGATGTCACCCTATTCGGAATTGACGTAAAGACAAGAAGCGGAAACTACGTAAGTGTAGCTGGAAAATTAATGTATCTAATGTCTCACGTCTTCGTCTTCCGCGCACTCGTTTTCAATTCGATGTTTCTCGGCTTGCGCAGACGCTACCATTTCGAAGAATATCTGAACTCTCATTTTGATAAAAACGAAAATCCTCCGTGGCTTCAAGCGATGGTCATTGTGAAAACAAATAGATCCTTGATATAACAAAAAGGCCGGCGCAATGTGGCTCGGGGGGGGGGGCAGCCGCTGCGCGCAGTGTTGCGGCAACAGGAAATCCGTGAGCCAGGGGCATGTAGCCAATTCAGGGGCGGTATTCAATCCTTTCCCCTGGGTTATATATCTGATTCAATCCTCTGGGGGGACAAAAAAGGATTGCGTCATAGGACCTCGCATACCTCTGGATATATCCCCCTGGGGGAAGGATTGAATACCGCCCCAGGAGGGTCGGTGATGAGGGCAGTAAAGCATGCGTGAGAAGCTGGAATGTTCGAGTTACACTACATCGCTGAGCTGCTAGCGGCGAATGCCCCCTCCTTCCCCCCCCCCCCCGAGCCACATTGCGCCAAAAGACCTATTTTGTGGATAAGACGCCAACGAAATAACTTTTCTGTCAACATGTTCTGCCGCCGAAGGGAGGGCGCAGGCTCGAAGTAAGCAAACCAGCCCTTTTGGCGTTTCTGCTGGGACCGTATGCTGAATGTTGGGGAGGGGATGGAGTCCCCGACGGTCGACGGACCACTTCAACTCGGTCCTTAGAACCGCCACAATTTGGTGCTTACCTCAGAACTAAGCCTTAAAGGAGGGGTCCGTCCCCTCTCCAAGGCTTAGTCCTGGGGTAAGCAAACCAGCCCTTTTGGCGGAGCTGCTGGACCCAGCTGCACCACTTCGTCATCACTCTCCTACCGTAACCGAGTTGAAGTAGTCCGTCGACCGTTGGGACCCCATCCCCTCCCCAACATTCAGCATACGGCCCCAGCAGAAACGCCAAAAGGGCTGGTTTGCTTACCTCCGCAGGCTCCCCCGCTTTCTTCACGATTTGGGGCGCGGCCAGCGGCGAGCGCGGCCGAGTCGATAGTGCCCGCGAACTGTGTGGGTAAGTTTGAAAACGCATCACCACCACGCTTCGCGGGCACTGTGAAGAAAGAAGGGGAGGCGAAGGGTACGTACAAATTTGGAGTTCATAACAAAACAAGTGGCTACAATGAGGCTATATATGAGTGTAGATATTGTTAATGAACTCCCCCCTGAATTCCGCACATCACAATCTAACCACCTCCTGTAATTAATTAATTGATGAATGTCCTTACGCCACATTCAGTATTATTCGAAAAGAAGCTACTCTGTAAAGGATGGCTGCGACAGTTTTGGAAGTGCCTTAAGATAGGGAATGTACACGGATTTAAATATTATAGAAAAATGTGAAGGGTAGTTCTTCAGGAGTTCCAAGAACAAATCTCAGGCTGATAACACAATGTCCCAAAAGCTGAGTGATAATTACTTTGCAGCGTCTCGCAGTTCGATTTGCATTTAAGTATCGATTGGATACGAATCGACTATGTGGTTCTGCAAGCGAATGTGCGATGGCTCCCCTACTTTCTGCACGATTTGGGGCGCGGCCGAGTCGATAGTGCCCGCGAACTGTGTGGGTAAATTTGAAAACGCATCACCACCACAGTTCGCGGGCACTATCGACTCGTCCGCGCTCGCCGCGGCCGCGCCCCAAATCGTGAAGAAAGTATGGGAGCCATGTGCGATCGATACCTATCTACTGCATGGAAAATCGTGAAATCACAAGACTATGACCACGGTTCAAAGCCGCGTTCACACTCCATGGATGGAGATGAGGAGATCAGGCGGTAATGAAAAAGATCCATTGGCAGGGAGACATAAATTAGCAGGTTACAATAAAAAAATTGATTGATCCGCATGTAGACGCCTAGATGCTAATGTGGTAGAGAGGTGTGGTTCACTTGGACAGAGAGCGGCTTTTTCGTTTCTCACACCTGAAACATGTGGGAACCTCAGGCCCACCGCTGATCGGGGGAACGTTCCTCCATGGTCCTGCCATGAAGTGCGGAGAACACGGACACTTGGAGAACGGCGCCTGGCTCGGCTCCAAATCCCAAGGAAGGAGGTGAGAGCCCTAGGACTAAGCCTTGGAGGGGGGAACTCCGAGGTGGGTGAGCCAATTACAGTGTGGCAAAAGTTTGAATGTGTGAGATCACAGTGGTCATGAGCCGCTGATAAGGCGAGAGAGCGCAGACGAGAGCGGTCGAGGCGGCTTAAAGGACCGAGTTCAAGTAGTCCGTCGACCCCGATTGAGTGGACCTGAAGTTCATACAGCGAAAGATGTTTCGCGCTGCGCAACGCGAAAAAGTCGCTTTCTGTCCTAGTGAACCACAGCGGGGGGGGGGTGCACTCGCTGTCACGACGTATTCGTGACCTCTAGTCCGATGCCAGACTTTGCGAATCCAGCGATTGGTTGGATACGAGCGTTGCACCAGCGAATCGAGCTGTGCACCAGCGGATCGAACGATGTACCAGCGACTCAACACTGTTTGAAAGTGGCGGGACCCAACGTTTAAAGGAAGTCCCGCCACTTTCAAACAGTGCGTCCTTTAAAGTGGACTTCTAAACGTTAAGTCCCGCCACTTTCAAACAGTGTCGAGTCGCTGGTACATCGTTCGATCGCTGGCACATAGTTCGATCCGCTGGTACACAGCTCGATTCGCTGGTGCAACGCTCGTATGCAGCGATTCGCTAGCGAATCGCTGGATTCGCAAGAGTCTGACATCGGCATTACTGCCAAACGTGGAGATTGTGAGTAAGGGGGAGCGCGAGTGTAAAGAGGTGGGGTAGGGTGAGCCACTCGACATGAGTGAAAAGCTGGAATGTGCTAGTTCACACTATGTCGCTGGGAGGGCGCGAAGACGACGCGCGCCGTGGCAGCAAATTCCCCGCCGTGGTTCGCTGAAGTAGAAAACAGCTTTTCGCTTTTCGCAGCGCGAAGCTTTTAATCGCTGCAGGAACCCCAGGCCCACTCAGATGGGGCTAATCGCATATGCCCCCATTGTCCCTCCTCCCAAGTTTAAGTTAGTACCTTAAGATGTAAAATTCTGTAAAAATGAAATGAATGGACACAGTGGAGAAGAAATCTGAAGTCGCTAACAACTTACGACTTCGGGGAACTGATAACCACAAAAAGAATTGTGTAAGCATTGTTGCCGATATTGGCCCATACGGGAACGGTGTAAGCAATGTCAGATCTCTGCATTCTCAGCAAATAGGGCATGCCTGGAGCAGCAAAACAGCTACATCAGCGAAACAATAGGAGGATGGCGCGTCGCTTTCGAGATCCACCAATTTCGATGGGCAGAGAGTCAACCGATCGATACCTATCCAATCCCGACGATTCGGCGTCTCGCTTACGCGTTCTCGCGTGCGTCGATTCTTGCAGTCGATACGTATGTGTTTACGCGAATTCCCTTTTTTAATCTGCGGTCGCAGGCTGTGATCGATGGCTTAGAGGCAAGTAGCCATTCTCATGGTCTCTCGATCGAATTCTATGTATGTAATCTGTGCGGATTCACCCATTTCCGATACCCGAGGTCAGAGACAGAGCTGTTACCAGGGAGGGAGGGGGCATCGCGGGGCACAGCGCTCAAGGCTTCCAAAACCACGACAAATAATCCATTTCAACACAAGCTTAGTCCTTGTTCTTGCACAAACAAATAAGTCCACACACCCTGCTTTTCCTTTCCTTGAAAAACTGGACAGTTGTTAATATGATGAACTTTGTGCCAAGGTGCGCTCCTCCTCCCCCTTTCTCCGAAGCGTGGGTCATTAGGACATGACTGTAATAGCATTATTGCTCTCAGCTGCGCAAAATGCCCATGATTGCACGACAGAATCGGGCTCGCATCCGCGCAGCGAAAACATGCGCAGCGCGACGAGCAAGGACGCACGACTGGGTCAGCTTTTCGCATCGCATGGACGATTTGGGAATAACTCTGTCATTGCTGCACACCACGCAGAACTGATGTTCTGCCACTTTCGGTGAATTACTGAAGCTGCGAACTATTGAATCACCCAGAACGTTGTGAGAAACGCGGGCATAGCGAGGTCGCTTGAGGTCGATCATGGAGACGGTAAGGGGTCTCCCGTTGGGTCAAATCTAGGTGACCATATTTGGTCGTAGTTTGGTTTTGGTAGCAACAACATTAAACAACAGTAAAAGGGGAAAGAGGCTAAGACTTCGCATGAGTAGGTAGTTTCGTTTGCCAGCAATTTTTCCTCCTAGGCTAGATGATTACCGGATTGCAAAATCACGGTGTCTCACAATGTCACTTTGCACCCTTTGTTGTTTCTGTGATTCTCCATGATTGCTTTTTTACCTTTCCCTCTCAATTCGGCTTGTTTTTTTTCCTTTTGTAGTGCTCTTTGACACTGTTTGATGTTAGCGTCAACGCTTTCTCCAAAACTATGGCGCAGTCGGCGTCTTCTCCGCTTCATGTATACACAGGTACTAACAAGCCCGAAGACATTCATCATCCGACGCTGACCAAATATGGGCTGTGAATGTGGGATAGAATTCTTCTTGCTTCAGTAGAATGAAGAGCCGACGCACCAGGTGTTGCGGGTGACTAGAGGCTCAGAGTGATTCTAGACCCTTTTAATGTCACTTTGCGGTGGTAGTGAATTTGATGATATAAAAATATCCCTACTATATATAATGCGCTAAGTCTGTCTGTCTGTCACGAAATTCCGTATTAAGCGGACAACAACCTACTGGGTCCAGGTCAAGTTTGGGATGGGTGTACCATATCTCGAGAAGTAAAAAACATACATTACCTAAGCGGAGCCCCGCCCACAGTGGGCGTGGCGTGCGTCGAAATGAGTGGTACTGAGGACCATGATTTCAAATTCAGTCACAAAACAGCCTCGAGACCGGGACAAAAGTGGGCATAGGTGGGTTGGTAAGCCAGATTGAACTGAGGAGACCCACCCTCGGTGGGCGGGGCGTTCTCTAAAAAAGCGGTGCTCAGTGAAAATATTCATAACTCGGTTAAGAAGAAGCCTACAGACCAGAAACGAAATTAGTGCAGGGG